TCCTTATTTTTATAAGTCCTTAAAAGTGGACTTGATTATGTACCGGTCGAATAGAGGGCGTATGGATCGATCCTAGGAACCGTTATCGGATATTGAATTATGGTCGTGGTTAAATCCACGGAAAGGATTGTTGTGTTGTGCTCACACCCCTTTCCTCACTTGTGCCTGAATGGACTGATCATCCTTTGGGAACAACGCATCCTCGTGATGCAGTTTGGTCTTCGGACCCTTGACATGCTTTTGGGGCATTTTGACTTTCTTTTGAATTATCACTTGGCTTTATAAATTGCTTTTGAACTTGTTATCTCACATTCATTGTTTAGTTATATTATTATCCGTTCACTGAGCATTAAGTTCAGCCGAGATTTTCTTGTCCTCGACAGGTACATGACTTAGCAGGGATTTTGGGATGAGAGCTATGGAGATGACAATATTGAAGATAACCCATTAAGTCATACTTTTGTTAAACTTTTGATGACTAATGTAGACATACTGGTATTTGGAAACCGTATTTTGAGACACGTTATCTCCGTTTGTGGTTATGTAATTATCTTTTGGAAAATTTTATTAGCTGCTCTGTTTTATATAGCGCGTTGTTTTTATCCCAATTGTGGCATCTCCCGTCTTTGACCACGTGGGACGGGGGTGTTACATTTGGTTTTGAACTGGGAAAAATGTCACTTTATGGTAAAAGAAGGCATAGTGTTAGGGCATTTAATTTCCAAAAGAGGCATTGAAGTTGATAAAGCAAAGTTAGAGGTAACTAAGAAGTTGCCTGAACCAACAACTGTAAAGTGAATCAGAAGTTTTCTAGGACATGCAGGTTTTTATAGGAGATTCATTAAATATTTTTCAAAAATATCAAAACCTCTTTGTTTATTATTATAGCATGACCATGTTTTCAATTTTAATGAAGATTGTAGAAAAGTTTTCAACATTTTAAAAGAAGCATTGGTCATTGCTCCTGTGGTAATAACTTCTGATTGGTCCAAACCCTTTGAAATAATGTGTGATGCTAATGACTGGGCAGTTGGAGTTGTGTTAGGTCAAAAGAAAGAAAAGATTTTTCATCCTGTTTATTATGCAAGCAAAACTCATAATGATGCTCAGATCAATTACACCACTACTGAAAAGGAATTATTAGTTGTAGTCTTTGCTTTTGAAAAATTCAGATCATACTTGATGGGAACCAAAGTGATTGTTCATACTGATCATGCTGCCATCAAGTACCTTATTTCTAAAAAAAGATGCAAAGCCTAGGTTAATAAGGTGGGTCTTGCTTTTACAAGAGTTTGATTTGGAAATCATTGATAGAAAAGGGGTGGATAATCTAGTGGCTGACCATCTGTCAAGATTAGAATAATAAGACAAACCAGTGCAAGGTAGTGACATCTGTGAAGTATTTCCAGATGAAAGAATTTTGGTTCTGTAGCATACTACAGTGCCTTGGTTTTATGATCTTGTTAATTACTTAGCTTGAGGGATTATTCCCAAAGAATTTAATAAGTATCAAAGAAAGAAGCTCATCTATAATTCAAAGAAATATTTATGGGATGACCATTTCCTGTTTAAAATTTATGCAGATCTTCGATGTTTGGGGTATAGACTTTATGGGACCTTTTCCTCCATCAAATAATTGTGCCTACATCTTGGTTGCTGTGGACTATGTGTCCAAATGGGTGGAAGCCATGGCTTGCCATTTCAATGATGCTAAAATAGTTGTTAAGTTCTTACAGAAGCACATATTCACTAGATTTGGTACACCTCATGCCTTAATTAGTGATGAAGGCACTCACTTTATAAACAACTTGTTGGAAGAAGTTCTTGATAAATATGACATCAAGCATAGGGTAGCAACTGCCTACCATTCTCAGACCAACGGATTAGCTGAATTGTCAAATATGGAGATAAAAGGGATTTTGGCCAAAGTAGTCAAGCCACATAGAAAGGATTGGGCATCTAAGTTAGATGATGTTTTATGGGCCTATCGGACTGCTTTCAAAACCCTATTGGTATGTCTCCCTACAAATTGGTCTTTGGAAAAACTTGTCATTTACCTGTGGAATTAGAGCACAAAGCCTATTGGGCCATTAAGGAACTTAACATGAGCTTAGATGAGGCCGGAAGAAAAAGGACTTTGCAATTCTGTGAACTTGAAGAGCATAGGAATATTTCCTATGAAAATCCTAAGCTATACAAGGAAAATACCAAGAAATGGAATAATAAAAATACTTCCAAAAGAGTTCATGAAAAGCCAAAAAGTCATGTTGTTCAATTCGAGGTTAAAGTTATTTCCTGGAAAACTAAATTCCTGATGGACCGAACCTTTTGTTGTTGCCAAAATATACCCCTACGGAGTAATTGACTTGATAGATACGGAGAGGGTACTACTTTCAAAGTGAATGGGCAACATGTAAAACCTTTCTTTGATTCCATGGCTTTTGCACAATCTGTTGAGGTTATTTTTCTGAAATAATAATTCATTGTAAATATTAGTCTTTATATATATATATATATATATATATATATAACTATTATTTTATTTTTATTCTTTTTCATTTCGCATTTATGTTTTTAATTTTTAGATTTAACTTTAATTTTATTTTCCTTTATTTTAGAATAATTATTTATAATCTCTAATATGTTTTGTTTTTACTTTAATTAGGTTTTATATTTAATTTCAATGTTTGGGTTGTGTTCTAGTTATTTTTGACCCAACTATTGATTTAAAACAGACGGCCCAATTTGTTTGTGCTAATTAACCAGACCCGGCTAAAGCAATTGGTGGCCATTCTCATTTCTTGTTAACAGGCCGCGAGGAGGAAGCCCCAAGGTGAAATCTGTGTTTAGGAAGCCCAAAATGAAGCCCATGAAGAAAAGGCCCAAGTTCGAAGCCTGCACTTTGTACGATATGTCAAGAAGCCCGCGTTTTTTTGTACTAGTTACAGTCCTTTCATCTTCAACCTCTCAACTCAGCCAGCACCATCACCGTGCTCTCTTCTCCATCGCACGGAGAACCATAAGCATTACCTCATTTCAAACCCCCATTTTTCTAAGTGACGGGACTTCCTTGAACTAGCATTATTAAGGAAAGGTACGAATTCTGACTAAGTCAATATCTTTGCCTGATAACTGACACTCAACCGCAAGGACGGTTTTAAATTTTTGAAATCAAAATCTTGGAGAAGAAGTTTAGAGCCCTTAAAACCCCTCTAATCACTGTTCATACACCGTTCGGGTTTGTGTTAAGCCATTGTTCACTATCAATTTCTCCTTGCTCCAAAACTATTACCAGTCCCCTGTTCCCCTTGTATGGCCGTTCTCAAATCTCGGCCTAGAAGAAGAGAGGGAGAATCTGATGCCATGTTCCCTGTGAACAGTAATGACCATTCTAGTGACAGCGAGGAAGAACCCATTAATGCCATCCTTTTGAGTCAGGTTCCTTTTGCCAAGTATAAACCTCAAGCTCAAGCACAAATACAACCACAATCACCTCCAAAGCCACAGCCACAACCACAACCACAACCAATATACTAAGGCACTATTCGAATGACTAGAAGCAGAGCCAAGGGTCTTACCATCTTCAAGCCATTTAAAGAGAAGAAGGGCACTGTGATTGCACTATCTGATGATAGTGATTCCCCCATAAAGAGGCTTGCTGATCAAGCTAGTGAAAACAGATCAACAAAAGTGGATTTTACTTATTTGAACACCCTGGCAGATGCAGCTACACAAATGATCACTCCAAGCATACCTCCAAGTATTACAGAAAGGCTTCAAACAGGTTTGAGAATCACTAGACCTTTAACTATGGATTTATTGTCTAGTTTCCCTGTGTATCCTCAAGCCAGTGTTGGTAGGGCTGAACAAAAACCAAAAAATCCGAAAACCAAAATAATGGCCCGATTTCACCCAATGTATGAATCCGAAATTTACTTCGGGTATGGCGGATCGGGAAGGATCCCACGATCCACCCCCGAACCCGCCCGAAACCCAAACTCGTTAGGGGATTACGTTGGGCCTTTGTATACAGGCTTGCTTGGCTAGTAGGGCTAGATAATAGTGAGACCCATCTTGCCTCTTGCGACTATCCCCGTGCGGTCGTACCCGAAGTACAAACCACCGACTACTCACTGCTGTCCGACTCCAACCGCTGCCTGCCGACGACGATTGACTGTGTGCCCGCTGCCTGCTGCCGATGATTGACTACTAGGCTGCTGACTGTTGCCGTCTGCCTCTCTCGTGGACTCTGACTGAGTGAGAGTGATAGAACACAGAAGTCTCATCTCTACACAAGAAGTAAGTAACTAAGATTCTAAGAACTCAAGTCTTCTTTCTTAAATTTCTAGTTTTTGACTTTTCTTTATATCAATATGTTATCTACATATAATCTAGCAACTGCAATTAGCAACTACATAAAGAGAAAAACTTTAAATCCCACTTATTTTACCTTCTAAAAACAAGGAACTTTCCAAACAAATCGTGAGTGACAGGATTATATGGACCTATTAATTAAAACGTTGGGTTGAAATTTTTCCTGTCTTCATTATTTTTTCTGCTAGTTAACAACCGACCGCTTTACTTTTGTTGGGAACACTCATTGTGATAATATAAAGGAGCACTTTTCTTGGATACTTTATAGTTTGTGAGTGTCTCTCACTCTAGTGTTGAGATCTACGACCAGATAGTTTATATTCTTAAACCCCATATAGTATCTACTAATGTAACAAAGTGAACTCGCAAGCTCTATTCTTTGGAGAAACTTAGATGGTAAACATGTTGCAAAAAGTGATACGTTGGTTTAAGATATGTAGAGGGAGGGGAAAGAGGGGGGGTTAAACAAAACCATAATGATTGAAAACAGAAACTAAGGTGATGACTGATTATGAAAACAGAAACTTGGGTGGTTCTTTGTTTATATTCCTGGGCTTGATCATTTAAGCTCATTTAGTCATTTATGTGTTTCAATTTCTGGGATTGGGAGGGTTTTTACTTTTTATTCATCAAATTCTTCTAGCATATTGTCAAATTGTTATATTGTTTAGAATTGTAGATGGAAAAACTTAGCACGTCTCAGTCCGGAAGTAACAGTCATCAAGCTCCTCCTTTACAATCTAATCCTACCATAAGTCAATCTATTCCGGAAAGTACAAGGAAAAGGAAAACGTTAGAATCCAGATCTCAAGTATGGGACCATTTTGAGAAGATTTTAAACGAGGATGGGCTAGTCATTAAAGGTAAGTGCTTATATTGTTCAAAATATATGCAGCTGAGGCTAAAAAGCATGGTACTTCCTCTTTAAATAACCACATGAAAGCTTGTTTAAAGAATCCCCATGCTAAGGAAACAAAGCAGTCAATTCTTGCATTTCAATCTGCAAAATTTGAGAATAGTGATGGTGCTTTGACCTCTTGGGTTTTTAACCAAGAGGTTGTTCGAAAGATGTTAGCGAAAATGATTATAATGGATGAACTTCCATTTAGGTTTGTTGAAGGGAGAGGTTTTAAACAGTTTGTTGAGACTGCATGCCCTAGATTTAAGATCTCTTCTAGATGGACAGTTAATAGGGATATATTCAGTATTTACTTTGAAGAGAAAACCAACCTTAAGAAATTGTTTAAGTCAAGCATGCAGCAGATTAGTTTGACCACTGATACGTGGACATTTGTCCAAAGAATCAATTATATGTGTGTCACTGCACATTTTATTGATGGTGAGTGGAAATTAAATAAAAAGGCCATCTCATTTGTGCCTATACATTCATATAAAGGGGAAAGTATATCTAAGGCCATAGAGAGTTGTTTGCTTGAATGGGGAGTAAAAAATATTTTCACCATCACAGTTGATAATGCATCAAGCAATGACATTGCCGTTGGGTTCATGAAGAAGAAGGTGGTGAATTGGGGTGGTTCTTCTACTAGGGCAGAGTACATACATATGAGATGCAATGCTCATATTCTTAATTTGGTTGTATAAGATGGATTGAAATTAGCAGATTCAACAGTAAGAAGATTAGGGATTGCATTAGGTGGGTGAGGGGTTCTCCATCTAGGTTGAAGAAGTTTAGAGAACTTGCAGAATTGCTTGAAGTGGAAGAGAAAAGTTCCTTATGTCTTGACGTTCCAACTAGATGGAACTCCACCTATATGATGCTTCAAACCGCAATAGGTTACAGAAAAGTTTTTGAAACGTATGAGAGTAGTGACATCGCGTTACATTTGGATTTGGGTGATTCGATGCCTTCCTATCTTGATTGGTTACAGGTTGACAGTTTGGTCATATTTTTGAAGACATTTTATGAGATGACAATTAAAATTTCTGGCTCACTTTATGTCACCTCAAATTCTTTCTTAATTAGATTTCGGATTTTAGTTGCATTATTGCCGATATGTTACAATATACGTCGAAAGTTGAAGAGGTATGTTTATCTTTCCTTAATATTACCTTTACTATTTACTTATATTTGGTTGTTTACTAACTTTTTATTTTTGATTTATGAACAGGAAATGGGTGTTAAAATGAAAGAGAAGTTCAGTAAATATTGGGGTGATCCAGATAAGATGAACTTCGTCATATTTTTTGGCAATATATTGGACCCGAGAGACAAGGTTGAGTACATGCAAGTCTAACTCAATCAAATGTATGGTGAGGATCAAGGTAAGTCATGCTTTGAAAAGGTAAAGTCTAAATTAGATATGTTGTTTCAAGAGTATGTGTCAACATATTCCGAACCTTCTACCACTATGATGCCTCATCCACCTATTAAGTGTGAGAATGTTCCCGTTGGAAGGGTACAATCTAGATTAAAGAGCCAACTTAAGAAACAAAATATGGAAAGTGGGGCTTCACTCAACAAAAAGAGTGAACTTGAACTTTATCTAAGTGAGTCGACAATAGATGAGACAAACGATTTTGATATTTTAAGATGGTGGAAGGTTAATAGTGAAAGGTTTCCTATTCTTTCGAAATTGGCTAGAGATGTGCTTGCTGTTCCAATTTCAACTGTGGCATCTGAGTCTACTTTTAGTACTAGTGGCCGGGTCTTAGATAATTTTAGGAGTTCTCTATCTCCTAAAATGGTAGAAGCCCTGATATGTACACAAGACTGGCTAAGAGGCCCTAGTCAGCCAATTACAGTTGAAGAAACATAGCTGATATTTAAAAGTTTGAGAAAGGTACGACATTAGTTATGTATTCAGTATTTTAGTATACCTTTTCAACTTGAATTTGTATATTTATATATTACATACTTCTTTTAATTTGTTTCTATAAACGCATACATGATGAATATGAAAATTGGAAGTTCAAGTTCTGTCACTGACCAAGAGGATTCTCTTCCGGTTCCAGCTGTTGATGTAGATGATCTACAGCTAGATGATATATCGTAGAAGTGGCCACTTTGAATTTTGAAAGGTATTTTATTTCTTTGTACAGCCTCCAATATAATGAAATCTTGGAATGTAAAGGGGGCAAACTACAAGCCATACTAGATAATATACCTCTTGTTTTCTTTTATGTTACTTTATCAATTTTCCTCAATATTTCAGGACTACTGATCTAAGTGAAGAATAGATGCATTGGTGTGAAGACGAGATGACCAAAGTGAGAGTTTGTGATGGAAAACTACAAAGAGATTGAAGATTCTTTCCCACTTTTCTTTCATGTACATTATCTTTCCCACTTTTTGGACAATAAACCAATCACAATATAGTGACTTCAAGTTGATCGATGGCTTGTTTGTTTTTAATTTTGCTTGTTTGYTGTCATKGTTTGGTGTTTTGCTGTTTGTAATATTGCTGACCTTTACAGWAAGTAGTCTACCACTGCTTTTGTAACCGGAAAAAAGTATACCTTGATGGAAAATGTCATTGGCAGAGGGGCTGCCATGTATTTGGCCTTCATTGCAGATTATAACCAAATGAAACGAGTCCAACGCAGGGTGCATACTATAACGCACAGGGTCAGCAACCTGGATCGTTTTCGAGGCCTCCATATACGGTTCCTTCTCCTTACCCTCCTTATCAAAGTGGCTCAATGCAAGTTTTAGGTATCATGACAGCAATAAGTTCGTAAGGATTTGTTTTTAATTTTGCTTCACAGAATATCTTAAATGTTGTTTTGTAACCATATTCTTGCCTTTGGAACAGAATGGTTTGGTTCTGAACGTTGCTCAACAGTGTCATCTGAACCGTTTCCACATTCTTACAGTTTGGTTGGTTGAACCAGCAACTTTAGCTCATTTTCTGAAACCTTGCCTTTATAATCTGTCCGGAATTGATGTTTTGACTGCAGGTGATCGATACACCTGTGATTCTGAGGAGATGTGACGGTAAAATACTTATGCTCTTCTCTTATTAACATATTCTATATTTCAGTTTTGAAACAATGTCATCCATTAAAGTGGTTGTCCACACTTTTTTTGCCTTGTAGCAAAGTATGTTGCATTTTCATGCAATCTTAGATGTAATGTCACATCTTGGGTATCAAAATGAAGGTTTCGAATGTATGTTGCTCAAAATAAGAATCGGACCATAGTATGTTGCATTTTCATGCAGCCTGCCCTTATAGAAAAGATTCACTTTGAATTTAGATGAAGGTGATTGACATCAGAAGAACCTTCAGTTGCATGTGAAAATAATTTCGGGTCATGAAATGCATTTGTTATCAGTTTTTTTCTAACATAATTTGTGTTGTGATCTGTAGAGGACAGGAATAATTTAGAAAAGCTAACACTTGTTGTGCTCTCTCATCTACTGACGGCCATATTATTCGTTCATGATTTAACTAGAGAATGTGGGACCTCTCCTTCGGATCAGGTACTACATTGTGATTTATTATGTGACAAATCCTTCGGATAAACATCTAGACTCTTGATTTCTTGTTTATTAAGTGTATTCGTTGGGTAACAGCTTCTATGTACTCTTAGTGGGTATTATGAACAATGATTTTGTCTTTGTCCTAAATGGTTTTTTGGTTTCCATTTAATAATAATGTTCGAGGGTTTACTAGCCTCATATAGCAGTTGCATTATCTCTTTTACTAGCCTCATATAGCAGTTGCCAATTATATGTACACAAGTTTAAGGCTGTGCAATTTGCTTCTTCTATTTGCTTCTATGTTATTCACCCGAACCCGACCCAAAACAGCCCCGTACCCGATTAGAACCAAACCTGACCAGACCCGAACCCCAAATAGTATACTTCCGGTTGTGTCTTTTTACCCCGAAACCTGATCGGGTTAGCCATTTTCGGGTCTGATCCGACCCGACCGATGCACAGCCTTAAGTGTTGGCATTAAGTTGAGGAAGTCTGTGGATGAGGCCATTGTTGCCTCTAATGAATTTTTGGGCCTTAGGACAACAACTTGTGCCCCTGCCATAGCAATGGTCCAAGTTGAGCCTTCTATGGCTGCCCAAGCACCAAAAAAGGGAAATTCATTCCTTAAGCACTCTGTTAGTGCAGCTTTGGCAACCATGGATAGGATGATCAGGAAGGAACCAGAGTTTTATCCATCCCCTGCCCATACATCAATTGAAGCCACCCATGCACCTAAAACCATTAGAGACACACCCATTGAATTAAATTTCATGGAATCACCACACTTTGCATCCATTCCCATTACATCTACCATTGTTGAGCCTACACTATTTGACCATATTACATAGTCATAAACAGTTCCTAAGCATGCCCCTATTGGAACAGTCACCAACAGCCTAATACCTTCACCCATACAAACCACAGTGACAAAACTTATACCTATTGAACCTCTTATCACTTTGCCACCTATTGTTTCTATCCAAGAACTAGACTTTGTCTTAGGACTTTCACCCACTAATCCTAGCCTAACACCCTTTACACACACTGAAAACCCATCTGAACCACATAATGCTCCTGTCAGTCAAACACCATCACCCTCATCCCAATTCACTCAACCCTGCATCCCTAGTCCAACCAATACCTTTGTAACAGCAGGACATGAACCAAATCAACCCCATAGCCCTATCAACTCTGGGACCCATGACTACTATGAGGGGACACACTTTGCTCACCATAGCCCTGGGCACAGCAGCCTTCATATTGAGCAAGAAAGGGAAGAGCTTGATACTGGTGCAAGTTTGAAAAGGAAACTGGCAAGGAAGATGATGGGCAGATTTGAGACAAGAAGCTCAAAGAGAAGGAGAGAGGTCACTGAAGATTCAAATGATGAGGAAGAAAGGGTAGTGAGGAGAAAAAAGAGGCCAGCGCAGCAATTTGAAGATGGGCCAGGTATTTATCCAAAGCCCAATCACTTATTTAGCACACCATTAGCAAGAAAGACCTTCTTGCAATTTTCTGAGAAAGTATGGGTTGTGCCTAAAGGCTTTTCACAACAATTATTGCTGGCCAATCCTTCTATCAAGGCCATCATAGATTTCTTGGGTTGGGAAATTTTATGTGAGGTACCTAATCAATTCAATATAAGTAAGATTAAGGAGTTCTATACAGAGGTGGTTGTGACTGATGGGGTAGACTTGAGAGTTAGGAAGACCCTTGTTTCCTACTCACCCAATGCTCTCAATGACTTGTTAGAACTCAAACCACCTTCATACTCTAAGCTAGATAGATTGATAGCTGGTTGTACTGATGAGGAATATGATGAGATCCTTGCCAGAGTAGCTAAGGAAAGGGTTGTATGGAGTTTCAAGGGTAGGGCTAGGCTGTTAAAAACCCGGTATTTGAAGCCTGAAGCCAATCTACGGTTTTATTTCATGAGGCATACCCTTCACCCTACTAGCCATGACACCAATCTTTGCCTAGAGAGAGTCCTAATCATTTACTGTTTCTTGGAGGCAAGGCCATTTGATGTTGGAAGGATGATATGCTCCAACATCAAGGCATGTGTAGAAAGGACCAATGGCTAATTACTCTACCCTTCCTTGATCCATAAATTAATGCAAACATCCCAGGTCCTGGCCTTGCCTACTGATTTGATCTCTATGGAGAAGACCTCCATAGATAAGAAGAATTTGGACAGATTGTTGAGGGTTAATGCCAAGACACAGCCAGAAACAGCCACTTCTGCCATGACATCTCTGAAGGAAGACCTATTGAAAGCAATGGAAGACCATACCAATGCCCTGAAAAGAACAGTTGTGAAGAAGCACCACAAATAGATGAAAAGAGTAGATGAATTGAAGAAAGAACTAGACATTTTGAAGAAGGAGAGGGTGCAATGGGCGGAGTACAAAATGCAAAAGAAGAGGATTCTCATAGCTGCTTTGAAGCATGGAAAGTCAAAGAATGTAATCAAAATTCCACCTCCATCTAAGTCCATCTTGTTGCAACATTCAGACTCTCCTACTCAGTTTGAATAGGACAGGTTCTACCTTCTTAGCCCTTTGTATATATTTTTTAGTCATGCATGATCATTTAGCTAAGTTTAGTGTCTGTTTTGCTGTCTTTAGCACCTACTGTTTTGCTATTTTGCTATTTTGGCATGAGGTAATGCTATGCTTTTAGTTGTTGTTTAAAGTATATAGTTTTTAGGTTCTGTTGAGGTTTTCTGTATTTAACTGCTTCATGTAGTGACTGTCTATTTTGCTGTTTTAAAGGTCTAATGCATGTGTTTTGTGTTCGAAATCTGTTGTTTC